CAAACACCACAAATAAGGGATTTTTTTTTTTAAAGAATTGATTTACCAACACAGTCTATTAGTAAAGAAGTAAGCTTCATGTCATTGAAACCATTCAAATAGACACTTGGTGATTTCCTAAAAGATATGTTGCAATAAATGGAATCAGGAAAAATTAGAAGATCGCTAAAGTCTTATCTATTTTCCACCTTATCACTTGACTGCACTTATCACAGTGCTAAGACTGAAATTTATATTATTTGGATTTCTTAACTAGTGCTGTATGCCCCAAATCCTTTCATAATATGCTCCTTATCTGAATTTGCATGTGTTTAGGTTTCCTGTAAGCCCTTTCTCTTTCAGCTTTTAAGAGAAGAGCTTAATCACGCTATGATCTGCTGTCAGATTGCTTGGTTCTGAATCCTCATTCCACTATTGACCAGCTGCTTGAACTTAGCAAGGTTAGCTGGACTGCTTAACTCTCATTCTCTAGCTGTCAGAAGCAGGTGATTCTAGTACCTCCCTCAAATAGTTGTTCCGAGTCTTAATGCGTATGCTAATCCATATAAAATAATTATTACAGTGCTAAGAATCTGTAGATGTCTGCTATCATTCCACCTGTGGGAAGGGTCAATTCTAGTTTTTTTTAATTTCTTAAAACTCTTGGACTCCAAATTTTATAATTTCCTAAGCTGACTAGATAAGTTTCTGAAGTTGTCTGTAAAACAGATTTTGTGTCTGTGTATTTAGTTCTCTGTTTTACTAACATCATATAGTAAGTCAGAGGTGCAGTCTTATGAGCCACTGTATCAGTAACAATGAACAACAGATGTTTTCAGAGTTAGCAGACTATTGGCAGCCTCTAAATTGGCAGCTCGTTGGAGACCCTTAGAACTTGGAGAAGTTTGAAAAGAATGACATTGAGGTTTTTTTCCCCTTCCAGTCTGAAGAAAATGATGAGACCATAAAAAATGTTTATTTGGGGTAAGCTGTTCTTTCACTGGCCAAACACTATGATATATTGATGAAGATGCAGGAGAAGTAGACACACCCAGAGTGGTTTATATGGCAGACTGGTTCATAACCCTGGTGTGGAAAAGGCCATTTCTAGAACTTACAGAACAATCTCTTTAAAATTTTATTCCTAAAAAGAATAAGAGCTTTTATGAACAAAAAAGTGAGAAACTAAGGTGGTAATCATTGTTTCTGCAGATATTTTCAATTTTTTATGTTTCTGTTTAATCATCTATGTAGAAACCATCATGGAAATACAGTACATTATTCACAACTGAAGGTACATACATTTACTATAAATATTTATCTTACATATAATGTGCACATATGTGGTTTACATCAGCTTCAAATGTGCTGCAAGTTTCTGACTAACCACTTTTGTGAATACTGGTCTTTGACTGTGGATGTTGTGACCCAATTCCAGAAACTAGTCTTTGGTTCCAGTTCTTGCTGAGGTCTCAACATGGCTGATTGGGTATGGGGGTGTAAGTTCCCTTTGCCTCTGTGTACTGCTATAACATAGATTCTGTCAAGTAAATAGATTCCAGTTCAAAGACCATTTTGATGAATCAGTTAAGGAAATGACTAACTTGTATTCATCTTTGATGAGTTTGACCAGCATCTGTATTTACTAGAGTCTTTGGTGTTTGGATACCTTGGGTATATGAAACGACTTTTATTAGAAACATGTCTGGAAGGCTGGACCATTCGAAATACGTGTTAAAAATCTTAAGTTCCTATCAGGATTTAGGGGTGCTCTGGCCTTAAAACTCACTTGCAAAAACCTCCTTCCCCCGGCTCTGATTTTTTTCTTTGACATTTTAGTTCTTCACTATGTTAGATGATCCAAATGAAACTTTCAATTGGATATTTCCCCTCCTTCACCTTCCCCCAATACTATGTTGGCAGATTAAAAGCAAAGTGGGACAAAAAAGTTTAATTGTAAAGTCAGATTCAACAGAAACAAGGGTGGAAGAAAGAAACCTAATTGCTCCACTTTTAACACACATGTTTTCCATACACGACTGGTTTTCTTCAATTTTCATAATTACAATTTCAGGCAGCATCCCTCCTCTCCAGCACGGTTATCCCATTTGTGGGTTACCCATTTCCTGTGCATTTCCTTCCTCCAGCCCACTTCTTGGCCACATTAACATTACTTCATGTCACAAATGATACCCCAGGTGGCCAAAGCAGGCTTTGAAAAAGAAAAAATGAAATGCGAACCTGTCAAGGTTTCTTTGTGTTAAGTTAAAATATTTGGTGTGGAGAGGCACTAATTTTTGGCTAAAATGAGACTTCTGAAAAACATAAGATATTTTGGAAATCTACAATGTTTCAGGATCATCTCCATTAATCAAGCATCAGCTGACTAGGTATCTCAGGAGAGGTGAGGACAGTAAGCACATGGCTTTTGTGAACTTGGACAAAAATTTGAAAATATACTCTCATTTCTGACATGTAATCAATCAGCCAATATTTACTGAAAACCTAGTTTAGATTTGGTTTAATGCATAGTTGTCTAGAGGTTTATAGTCAAGGAGACAAAAGTCACATCCAAGATTAAATAGCCAGCAATAGTTCAGCAGAACTTGATGAGTTGGGAGTTAGGCTGTATGGCATGGTGTGTGTGTGTGTGTGTGTGTGTGTCTGTCTGTCTATCTGTTTCTATCCCTTAAGTTCAGGATACTAGAGAGACTGAAGAGTAGAACTCTAGAAGGCTTTGTGGGAGAAGGTAGGATCGAAATTATGCCTGTTAAACTAGGAAGAGGGAGGGAGAGTGGAATTTGAATCAGTGCAGTAGTGTGTGTGTGTGTGTGTGTGTGTGTGTGTGTGTGTGTGTGTGTACCCGTGCGCGCAGGGCCACGGGTGCAAGAAAGAAACCAAGAAGGTGCCAAAAAGATGCAAATGCTCATGAAATATTTACGACCCTCCTCCCTCTGAAATACATATCTCCTATGATGAAAAATGGTGGTGCACCCTGTCTGAAAATGAATCCCTGAAACTATTCAAATGTATTTATAACATTTCACAGGTCACTTTAACTCAGGAAATAAATTACCATTGGCAGGGGCGGGGGGAGCATTAGCGGTATCTGTCACTAATTAGCATTGATTTTGAGAGATGAAGTTTAGAAAGAGATAAACTTCCATTTTAAGAATAAAACCCCAGGAGTGGCTCCAAAGCCCCGGATGATGGGCCATCCTTTTCCCTTTTAATTTGCTGCCTTCCGTGCCACTGTCCATCCTTAAGCTTCACTGTCCACATCCTTTTTTTTAAGATTTTTTTACTTATACAAGAACCAGGGCACAGGCCAGATGTGCGGGAGGGTGAGAGGATTCACCAGAGACAGAGGGAGGGTGAGAGGATTCACCAGAACAGAATAGGCAGACTGACGAAGAACACTGCTGAGGGGAGCAGCCGGCGAGGCAGGAGAGGTCTGCTTCGCCATGTGGGATTCTCGTCGGCCTGCGGGGATGGAACCCGCGCTGCAGAGGCTGCCGACAGCTTCACAGTGCGGTGCTCAACCGCCTGCGCCACCAGGGAGGCCCAGTCCACAATCTTTTATCCTTTATTGTACTGGGCTCCTTCCTGACTTACAGTCTTTGCAATTGCTGTGTCTTCTACCAAGACCACTTGTCTGTCAGCTGTTGTGCAGATCTGCCCTTTCTTATCAGGCATGTCTTAGTTCACATTTCACTTTTTTCAGCATTCAGTCTTTTTCTGACTTTCCCATTAAAATTGGTCAGCTCCAGTCCCAGCATTCACCAATATAATACCTTTAGTTCTTTTAATATATACAGAGTGCTCTGAATGGTCTTGTTTGCTTATCTGTGTCTGCCCTATAGATGGGTTATTAGGACGAAGACCATGCCTGCTTGTTCATTGCCATAACCCAATATGCAGTATGTTCTCAATAAAGTGTGCAGGAGGAATCAGTGGCAGTGGGCTGTCCATTATGCTTGGAGCATACCCAGCTCCCATTCTGCTCCCCTCCCAAAAGACTGCACTGTTCAATAACCAAAAGAAAACAGCAACTGGTGAGGACCTAGGTGGCTCGTGTTGCTATGGCATCTGTCACAGCACATCTCTTTTCCTTTGTCTCTACTGAGTCTTCAAAATCTGGAAAATAACACCACTCAGAGGGTAATTTGAAAGAGATGGACTTTGAAGGAACAATTGTGTGGGTTGGACAAATGCTAGTAAATTATATCAGGAAAAGCTGCTGGTTTAATTCAGTTCTCAGTACATTTGTATGTTGTAGGCATTGTGGAAGAAAATTACTACTCATAATGAGCTAAGATTCAGTGTTTCTACTGCCCACCTCTTGAAGCCCTTACCTGCATTTTCCTGTGTATGTCACCTTCCAGGACTTTGCATTAGCCTTCTTTCTTCTCTTGAAGTAGGGCTGAATGAGTTTGTCTACCCCCTGCAAATTATAGTACAACAGCCATTGTTAATTTATTGAAAGAGTTTGAAGAAACTTATTTTTTCTGTTTTCTGGCTTTTTCACAGTAGTGCACCTCTGGCTGCTGCTATAAAAGCTACTTTAGTTAGTTCTCAGTTTTAGCTTGATTGGCTTCTAGTGCCTGAATAAGAAATTGAACAATGATGTAAAAATAAATAAATAATTAGAAATTATACATTCTTCAGTTACCCAGTTTGTATTTACAATTGAAATGCTACAATGTCTTTTTCTATGTCTTTAATACATGCTAACAAAAAATAATATCCATTATTCTGCTGTTGCAGCCTATTTTTATGTTTCCCCAAAGAATCTATGGTATTAGAACAGGTCAGAACAGGTAGAGATACTTCTATTTCACTTGCCTTCCACACATCTGTTCTTCGTACCTTCCCCTGTCATCGTATGAGAGATCCATGCATCTCCTCTACCAGGCAGTCCACCCTGTTAATTTAATGTATCACCTAACAAGGAGGTGATTCTCCCATGTCCTCATTATTTAGCCATCAGCACCGTTCACTTCTCCCTCTTCGTCCCTCAGCACTGCAGTGACAACACGCATCCCTGCCAATCAGACATGAATATTGAAGGAGCTTGGAAGAGAGGCTACACGGGCAAGAACATTGTGGTCACCATTCTGGACGATGGCATTGAGCGAACCCACCCGGATCTGATGCAGAACTACGTGAGTGTTTGCTGTGGTAGGAACGCCTTCCATCCTCGGAAGCAAGGGACCTTGTGTTAGGATTAACAGAAAGGGGGAAACTACTGGCAAATGCAGCTGATAGACACTGTAAGCCCCCTCCTTGTAAAATAGGGCTCTCAGGGTCCAGGCAGCATGAGATAACACTTTCAACTTTCAAGTGCCTTTGATGTTCTGACTGACAAATGGCAGAATCCCCACCTTCAGTGCCATCTGCTGCCCACACAACAGTTCATCCGTGCAGCCAGGCAACACTCTTTGTTTCTTTCATAGAAAAAAGCATGCTTAGAACTATTCACAATTTATTCTCTTGGTTTCTCTCTCTCTTTCTGCCTCTCCTTTTGTAAAGGACAGTACTTTTCAGCCATCCAACAGTCCTTAGGAATCATTCAATTCCCTTTCATAACAAGGAATCATGATTCCAGGTCTCAGAGACAATTTAAGATGAGCCCAAGGTTACAGAGCTAGTGTCAGTGCTGAAACTTAATACTTTTCATTGAAAACCACGGTCTTGATATCAGAGCCCACTCTAGGTGGGTGGTGGCCTGTTCCTGGAATATGGAGCTCATTTCTGGGTCATCGGTTTCCCCTCCCTCTGTGATATTCACTACCTGGAAATGTGTCAAAGCCCCCTCTGTCCTCTTCTCTCTACACTGCTTCTCCCCACGTTTGGTTAAGAGTGCCTTGATTATCTCCCATTATGCCATGCTCTTTCTGCTCCCAATTCGTGTTTCCTGACACCTTTGTGTTCTCCCCAGAATATTTTGTTATTAAAAAACCTGCAGTGACTCCCCATTATCTGCAGATATGGCTCATCATTCCATCAAGGCTCAGCTGAAAGCTTCAGTGGCTTCCTCTCACGTCCAGGTCTCCTGATTTCTCCTCTGCCTCTATTCTGTTGACTCAAAATCATGTTAACTTCAATCACTTTTATCCATCTATCCCTATTCCTTCAGGATTCTTTGGAAAGCCAAGATTTTGGCTATGTGAGTTTTCCTAAATTGTATCTCATGTTGGTAGTGAAAAGTATTTCTCTTAAAATTGGTCATTTTTTTTTTTTTAAATCAGCTTACAAGTTTCTCTCACAGCCTCACAAACACAGCAACTCTAAATCATGGTGATAGCCACTTCCCTTTATATGATGCATATCGATCTAGACAGAAAATCAGGGGCCAGTGTGGGAAGCTTTGCCTCTGTTTATGGGGGGAGGGCAGAGAATCCTGGGAGGACCACATCTCCTCAGCTCTTTCTCTTCATGGTCCTTAAGGGAGCAACTTCAGCAAGCCCAGCCTATCACACAGTACCTGAGCTGGCAGAGTTCTGAGATGGTCCCTGACTTTCAGTTCCCTGTGCACATCAGCACGAAGGACTTGCCATCTTAGCATGCCTGCTACCTCTCTCTCCTCTTTTCTCCTCAGAAACTGGTAGACGCAGCGCTGTCCCTGAAGGGCATTGTCCTGGTCTCACTCAGAGTGGAGTGAGCTTCTCCTGAAGTGACATAATAGCCTCTTGAAATCAGATCTATCGGGCCTCCCCGGTGGTACAGTGGGTTGAGCACCACACTGTGAAGCTGTCTGCAGCCTCTGCAGTGCGGGTTCAATTTTCAGCTGGCTAGGGAGATTCCCACATGGCGCGGCAGACCTCTCCTGCCTCGCCCGCTGCTCCCCTCAGCAGTGTATTTTGGTCCATCTGCCTATTCTGCTCCCCACTCTGCCTCTGGTGAATTCTCTCAACCTCCCGCGCCTCTGACCTGTACCCCAGTTCTTGTATAAATAAATCTTAAAAAAAAAAAAGAAAGAAATCTGATCTATCTTCTTCCCTCATCCACACCCCCTTCATTGCAGACAGTCCTGGAAAGAGGCTGTTTTCTCTGCACAGTGGGAATCACTGTGTGTATTTTAGACTGTCTCCTCTGGCCTCTCTTACCTACTGCTTCAAAAGTTTCTGGAAGAGAGGCTTAAATATAAGTAGAAATCACCATATGTTCTCGCCAACATTTCTTTCTCATTTGTGCAATCTTGCTTATTTCATATTTCATCTGTTAAATTAATTTTCCTTTTGTCACACAAACCTGGAAAGACTGCATTTTATCTTTACAAGTAAAATACTGCTGGTCATATCAGCAATGAGCACAGATCACCCTATTTTGACTATGAAGACCTCACCTCACAGAACACCTTAGACTTTCATTCACTTCAAAGACTTTTCCTTTCAATATTCTACCTTGTTGCCCCTTTTGTTTAAAAAATTCAGCCAAGAAACTTCACAAATTGATTTTTTATGACAGATTATTGAAAGTTTCCCCAAAATGAGATGATTTTTTTTTAATAAAGGAGGATATTCATGTAGTTTTCATTTGGATAAAATGTTCAAGTGGCTTCCCTCACCCTATCTCCCAGCTTGCTCACATAAACTTGTGTCTTTTCACAACCTAGAATTTTAGAGCTAAAAAGTAATTGCAGTTCATCGCCTCCTTCCATAGGATAGAAACTGAGGCCTAAAGGTCAGAGTGAATTAGTTAAGGTTATGTAAACATCATAAAAATGTCACCCTGTCTTCTAGCAAGGAGGGCTGCTGCTTTTATGCAGAAAGGATTTTACAGTGTGTTCCTGCTTACTACTGCTTGAAAATATGCTTGATTAAATATAAACAGCTTTAGCCAAGCTGTGATTACTTCTTTATTTTCATTTCATTTACCTTTATACCTTTTACACTTTTCCCCTTGCAAGAAAATTCTCCAGAATTTATCTGTACAATTAGCAGTATGGGTGCCCTCTCAGTTCTAATGCTGGAGAGGTTGCAGGCAGAGAGAAGCTTTTGGGATGAGGTGTCAGATCACCAGGAGCCAGTCTCTGTTCCACAGGCGGTTCCTTTCATTCGTTTGGTGAAATTACCTAACCTGTCTCGGGTCTCTGTTTCCCTTTAAGTAAAATGAACATGTTCCACTGCTAGTGCCCTTCATGTTCTAATGACCAAATAGACCAAATGACTGCTGGGAACCCCTTTGTAGAGAAAGCAGGCACTTTCCACTTTAATATATAATGTCCATTTTGCTTAATGCCCCCAAATATTTCACTCTATGAGTTATCAATTATTTGCAGAAACAAGAAATCAAAAGTAGTAGCATTTTACAGACAAATCAGGAATTACAAAATGTAAGAGAAACTAAGAACACCCTAAATTAGTTCTGTCTACAGTGATGTAAATTCACAGAACAGCCCAGTAAATTCTCTTCAGATCATTCACAATTATTTCTAAAAGCAAACAAATCCAACTTTGTTTTCAGAGATAGTTTCACCTCATTTTAAAGCCTTGGCATGCAATAAAACTATTATTTTGGTAAGGGTGAATGGCCATGGCTATTAGTAAAATGTCTGAATTATAGATTCTTATATAATAGGTCATACATCTGCAACCTTACCAGTTATTATCTAACAGAGACCCCAAGATAATGGGGAAAAATATGACACTGATTATTACTGAATGAGTCATCCCAACATTGTGAACTTTGGGTGTAGTATTTAACTTAATTACTCTCTTGCAGAAATGTGTTTAAGAATGCACGAGCCTTTAGATTAATGGCTAATTAATGAATGTCCATCTTCTTTCTCCTGCTCTCTCCTCTATGGCTATAGGATGCTCTGGCAAGTTGCGATGTCAATGGGAATGACTTGGATCCAATGCCTCGTTATGATGCAAGCAATGAAAACAAGTAAGGCCCGAGTGAGGGGTGACTGAGTGATTGGCATGGAGCTTTGTTTTTCACTCTTTCTGAAGGAAGTATTTTCTTGGAAATCCAGGAAACAAATGATACCTAATTTGCTTCGAGATAAGTAAGTGTCTTCCCACTGAAGCTTCTGGATAATAAAAGGGGATGATCCACATAGTAAGAATGGTTTCAGAGAGACTCTTAGGGGAATGGCTCAGCATTTCAAAATCTTGAGGGTACAGCTGGGGAATATTAACTGTCATGTATTATTTGGTCCATGACCAATTTATTTAGGAATGAGTGCTAAAGAGAAAAACCAAAACAAGTACCCCCCTCCCCTGAGAGAATTACTTTATTCCCTTAGATTCAACAAACTGGAACTGTCTTGAGCTTGAGGTCTCTGCCAAAAGCTGTCTTATTTTGCTTCTTTTCTTCTTACCTCAGCTTTGTAGTGAGTGTATTTTCTGCTAATGTACCTGAAATACTTATGAGGTGTACCATATGCAAAACATATTACTTTTTTAATCTCACACTCAAGAGTCATGAGAACCCATTTAATCACATTTACATTTTCCAATTAGTACAGTCATTTTTGCAAAAGCAAATGAAAATGTGTATCTATCGATAACAAAGACTACCTTAACATTCCTCAGAAGTAAATGGAAATGATTTTTCCTGCTTACAATGGCCCAGATACTTTAAAACATTAGTAGATGTTGCTAATCTCTAGATCACATTGACTTTTTTCCCTTTTCCTATAAATGTCCTCGAAGATAATATGTGATTTAGACACTTTCATTTGTGTATTTTAGTTTGGAATCCTAGTAGTCAAAAGAGACGTTATTTTCACCATTCATTAAGTGCTCTTTCTAGCCTGTATTTTTCTTTAGGAAAACATTTCTCAGCTAGTATTATTTGATTAAATTAGTTGATAAATTTAAGTAAAAATATATAACCCAGAAAAATTGTGACCATAAATGGCTTTTAACATTATTATACCATCTATAAAGAAGCCTGAAAAAAGTTACAGTGGGAAAGTTGTTTTAAAAAAATACTTACAACGAAGTAAATATTACAGATCAGATTTGGTGACTCAGTGAAATCCTGTGAAAACATTAATATACAAATTGATATAGGTTGTGATTTCTAGAATATGCTAGAAAAAAGGACCTATATCAACCTGGACAGTTTTCTTGCAGGCCTGGTCATTTCTGTTTAAATTGGAGTGTTTAAAGTTATCATGAATTTCACATAAAAGGGATATAATTTGAGACATGTGAGCTAATATACTTAACCTAATTTACAAACCAGCGTGAACACTGAAGGAGAAACTTGAAACTCTAATACTTAATAAGTCACCACTGATAAGTTTAAATATACAGTCCATTCTGCTATAATGTGACCTGCATTCCTAATTATAATCATATTCTACAAAATCAAAACCACAGAGCAATAAAAAATGAAGTTGTGGCTCAATATTCAAAAATGTTCATTAGTGACACACAAATATGAGAGGAACCTACCACAAACAGTAGCCCAGTTTTATTCATACTAAGTGGTTAAATAATAAAGTGTAATAAATGTAACCTGTATTATATTAGTATGTTATATTAAAGGAAAGAAAGATTAAAGGAAAAGAACAGAGAATAAAGAGGAAAACTGTAAGACAGGTTGAGAGGAAAGAGGTGAAGATTAAATTTCACGGAGGACACTCTCCAAGATGGTCTTCAGAGGTGTGACAGCTTGCAAGGTGTTGTGAACTGGAAGAAGGGTTACCTGACATCATATGGGAAGCTACACATCAGTTCTGGGCAAGTGAGAAATGAGACTGTGGGGTTTGTTTATTCCCACATTGTTCTGCTCAGCTTGGTGTGTTTCTAGGATAAAATGATGCATAAACCAATGCAAATTTCATGTTACACTCAAATTACTCTCTAATGTATCAATCACATTGGAAGGAATTCATCTTTCCAAGGCAAGCATTATAGCAGAACTGACTCGACTTATCCATTGGCTGAATTTATCACACCAACATTTGTACAGAGGAAAGAGAAACAGGGAAACTCTAGGAGAGACTAGAAAACACATGTTAATACCCAAAGTAGCCTCATGCAAGATGTTGAGGGACAGGAAGGGCTATTCATAGAAACTGAAAGTGTATTGAGCCTGTAACCGTTTCCACTTGGATGTACATATGGCAATTTGGGGCACTAAAACACTCAGTGATGGTGACTATTTTTCTGGAGTGTGTCTGGCCTGTGACAAGCATTGCTAACTGCAAAGTCTGTGTATAAAGACAATTCTTTAAGTATTGGCTTTGAAGGCTTTTTATTGGCCACCTTATAAAAACTTTTTTTTAAGATTTTTTTAATTTATTTATTCATACAAGCACTGGGTACAGTCAGAAGCACGGGAGGGTGAGAGGATTCACCAGAGCCAGAGCAGGGAACAGAACAGGCAGACTGACGAAATACACTGCTGAGGGGAGCAGTGGGCACTGCAGGAGAGGTCTGCGCGCCATATGGGACCCTCGCCAATGGTGGCTGGGGATCAAACCGGCGCTGCAGAGGCTGCGGGTAGCTTCGCAGCCCAGCGCTCAACAGCTGCACCACCAGGCGAGGCCCTAAAAACTTTTTTTTAATGAAGATTCCTTTTGAGCTTGGCCTCTCTCCCAAGACCTTTGTTTAAGAAGAATAGTCAAAGTCCTGTGGAATGTATACTCCATGCAATACTCCTTAACTATTAAAAAAGATGAAATAGTGCCTTTTAGCATCTTGAGATGATGATGCTAAGTGAAAATATACTAAGTGAAATAAGTGAGAAAGTAAGTGACACATTGACAGTTTCACTGATCTGGGGAATATAAATAACCAAGACCATATACTGGCAAAGCACAGCAAAAACAGTTCTTAGACTCAGTGAAAAATATGCTGATTACTAACTAGAGGGAACAGCGAGGATAGAGGCGTAGGTAGGGAAGAAGGGGCTGGGGCCTTGACACAGGTTTGGTGGGGGGCGAGTGAAGTTTACACATATGGAGGAGTAAAAACATATCCCAAAGTTTCATTTATATGCAAATGACTGACAATTTTCAGAAATTAAAAAATCACCATGGTCCTGTTCATTCTCTGTTAATTTGAAGAATTGTCTGTGGTTCTTTGAGTGTGGTGTGGAGGACACAGTCTTTGTTTAGATGTGTGCCAGGACTTGTGGAGTTTGTCCTTTTCAGGGGAGCAACACCACATCCCCAATCTCTGTTACATGAAGTCAGCAGTCAAATGGACATCCAATGTCCCTTCATCTCCTCTCAAGATGCCCGCCTGGTGTTATCTTAGCCAAGCTAGAGCATATATTCAGGCATTTAGGATTCAGATATCTGCACTGGGGCCTCCCTGGTGGCCTGGGGGGTTAAGTCTCAGCGCTGTCACTGCTACAGCCTCATGTTCAATCCCCTGCCAGGAGCTGACCCACGTGGTGCAGTAGACTTTTCCTGTCTCACCCGCTGATCCCCTTAACATTGTATTTCAGTGGATCCACCTGTTTTGCTCTCCACTCTGTCTCTGGTGAATCCTCTCACCCCCTTCACCTCTGGCCTATACCCCAGTTCTACACAAAAATTAAAAAAAAAAAAAGATTTTCATATATATCTATTGTGCTCGTTAGACCATGGTTATAGCTATGATTGATGGATCTGTCTTTAAGTGTGGATCCATATTGACAAATAAATTCTGTTTAAATAGAGGTCACTTGGCATCAGGTCAAAAGAATGGATTTATAATTTAGCAGAGTCAACTTTATCCTCAGTTCTCCTTGATTAGCTTTGAACCCAACTGTTCTGTGCTTTAGTACTTTTTTACATCTCTAAAATGGGCATAATAATACTTGTAAAAGGTAACAATAAAATATGTAAAGCACCAAGCTTACTGCTGACTAGATCATTATAACTGTCATAATTACTGTTCTATTCCTTTATTTGGGTTTTGATAAATAATCAGTTAAAAATTATAATGATCTCAAAATATGTATGCATGTGAGCATTTCAAATTAAACTAACTTGGAGGTCTTTGTTCATTTCCAATGTTAGAAGTTGGGATAGGTTTACCTGCTTTTCTTTTTCTTCCATTTCTCATCTCCCTTAGTAAAACTCGAGTCCTTGAAATTGACATAAGATAGTGAAGGAGAGGAATTTCTATCCTCCATCAGAATTAGGAAGTTGAGGCATATGCAATTCTGGCCCCCCTCCTCCTACAACCTGATCTGTAGGCTTCAGAGCATATTTAGGATTATTTCATACTTGACTGCATGTGTGCATTCATTTCACAGGTATTCTCTGAAAGCTTATTTTGTGGATGGCTGTGTGTAAATGCTTGGGGGACACAGTGATGAAATAATATAGCCTGCTCGCTAATGGATTGAATTGGGAGATGACTTAATAAGGAACTGTAGCACCTGAGGGGTTTTTAGTACTAAGCGAGAATGTACCTTCATAACTTAATGCAAAGCCTATCTCTTAGACTCACTTGATTACACTTCTAGTGCCGAAACTTTGGAGTAAAGGAAATCACCTCTCAAGTACAAAAGTTATAAAAATCTTTTTCTTGTCACTTTTCCAAGTTCCCAAATGGTGATGTTCAAACCTAAATAACTGATGCTAAAGAAATAGCATTCTCAGAGGGCCATAAAACCTGTCCTCCCATTCAACGTTGGTTCCATTCACATTAGCTTGCAAAATAAAGCTGACTGCATTGTTCTAGGTTTAAAATAGAAAGTGCCTCCCTATAAATGAAACAGTCCCCTGGCATTTCCTACCACTACTCCTGTTTCTGATGAATGAATTATTAATGTCTGAGTTAGATCTTCCCTTCCCTACCTCGCTTCTTGTTAAATGTTCCCTCTGCTTAAAAAATACAGCAACGTATTTAGTGGGATGTGAAACCACAGCATTGTATTTTGAATATGTGACATGTGGGACAAGAATCTAATTCCTTTTCAAAATAAGATAA